AAGGGGAGATAACAAAATTGAGCAAAGTCTCATCTATACCATTACTGTGAAAGTTTTCTTCTTTGAGGCAGTCCAAAGAAAGGCTGAGACTGCTCCTTTGATCACCTGGGCATTTTGGACATGTGAAGTCAATAAGAATTCCTTAGCTTATGTAATCAAGACCCAATCCCTATGTTCTCCACCTCAGACCCAGGGGGCTTCAGAGTCACAACACCTGGGAGGAGATCTTAGTACCAGTGTCGTTTACAGTTACTCTTCAGACATAGTACTTAAAATAATTTTTCATAGCAATAAACAGCATCTGTTATTCCTAAGACGAAGTGGTGGGGGTGGAGACACAACTTTATAGGGATATAATAAGATGGGTCCTTTTCCTTCTTGAATAATTAGGAACCCTCTGTTACATACCATGACATACATAGTGAACTGTCTATGTAACAGCCCTTTGAATGGACGTGTAGCCTTACACAACAACCTGGATTTTAAGATACAGATATTCAGAAAGCTGAAAGCAAAGCAATTTGCGGTTGGGGGAAATAGCTCCCAAGTATAAGGAAAGCAACAGGAGATGAATTAAAGGGAAAACATGGAATTTGAATGGTACAGACAGACTGGAAGAGTGGGGCGCAAGATATGAAAGACACTCCAAGCTGGCAAAAACCTTCATGGGCTCCAATGAGTAATCCTCCGAATGTGCAAAGCATTATTATAACTGCGTTAGGCTAATAACATAGCAACCTCCTGTTTTGGGTAAAATACTTGGATGTAGATAGTAAATTCTTAGATATGGGAAAACATTTTATTTAATTAGTGGAAGTTTGATTATCTCTGGACGTGTTCCATTAGTGTGCCTTGGTTATCTGGGTATATCCATTATCAGGAGTTTGCCTTAACAAGTCCATTTAGTGAGTTCCATCAAGGCATTTTTCTACTTAACTCCTTGTGCCCAAGTATCAGGGAGCTGGGCCCTAGTGGTTTTCAGGTTTCTTTGCATACACTTTGGTAGTTTGTCAGAGCAGTGATAGCAGTGGAGAATTTCCCATACATGTGCGCCTCAGCCCATAGTTAGCAGGAGGTGGGAAATCAGGCGGAGATGCCTTCCAGAGCCAAGGGGCCTCTTGGCATTTCCCTGGCAGCCTCGTGCTTATCATCAGCCAGAACCCAGGCACTCATTAGGCTCTTGATGAAAAGCATCCCAAAGAAAATGCCAGCAAATTGTGCCACTGTGCTGGCAGGAAATTAAAACTGCTCAGAGCAAGTGGAGCCAAGAGAGCTGTTGAAATGAAAGGTAACATCAAGGGTGTGATCACGGACTTACACAGACGGTCAGGATTCAAGATGCGGCTTTCTGCTTCACTAGGGAAAGCAGGAGGCCCTCTCCCTCTCTGCTGTCAGCCACAGTCAGTCCAACAGAGAGGCTGAGACAGGCAGGGATGTGGGCTTTGTGAATTAAGCTTTGTTATGCTTGGGTAAATGCTTGGGGTTTAGGTTGTTTTATTTTTCCCAAAGGAAAAACAGAAATAAGATAATTTGTTTTGTTTTGTTTTGTTTTTTTGTTTTTCTTGGTCCCAAACACTTAAAGACCAAATTAGGTAAAAGAACAACTTAAAGCAACACAGGTCCTATTAAAGTGGGGGCAGAAAGCATAGACAGGAGCAGACAAACCTCAGAACCTATGAATCTAGCAGCAGGACAGATGAAGGGGAATTTTAATTCCAGATAACTTTTTGTTGGTTGTGCTACTTCTATCTTGAGATTAAAATGACCATCAGCCCTGGGAAAGAAAGGGAGGTGCACAACAGGAAGCAGTACCAACGCGCAAACAGAGCACACTGAAATTTTAATCGTACTGGGGGTGGTGGCAGCGTAATGCCCCCCAAAACTGTCCAGGGCCTATTTCCTGAAGTTTATGAGTATGCTGCCTTACATGGGAAAGGGGAATTAAGGCTGCTAATTAGCTGACTTTTAGAGAAAGACTATCCTGGATTATCCCAGTGAGCTCTGTGTAATAGCAGGGGTCCTTAAATGCAGAAGAGGGAGGCAGAAGCAGAGGTCAGAGTGATGTGGAGTGAGAATGATTCAGCCAGCCATTGCTAGCTTTGAAAATCTAAAAGGGGGGCCACAGCCAAGGAATGTCAGTGGTCTTTCAAGGCTGGAAAAAGCAACAAAATTGACCTTCCTCAAGAGCCTCTAGAAAGGAATGAAGCTTGCCAACACCTTGCTTTAGCCCATTGAGAGCTATGTCGGACTCCTGACTACCAGAGCTAGAGAATAATACAGTTGTGTTGTTTAAGCCACGAAGTTTGCAGTAATTAACAATAGCAGCAATAGAAATGGAATATATTGATGTTTAGAAAATTTATCTGAAGTTCCATAAAGGAGTTTCCAAGTTCATTTACAATTCTTGGGGCTAAACAGTAAGGCAAAAAGCAGTGAAAAGATCTGAGAGGCATATTTATATCTTAAAATTGTTAGGCCTGTCACATGCATTATCTCAATCTTTACAACAACCTTACGAGGGTGTATCATAGTTCTAACTTGTAAATAAGGACCTTTTTTAAAAGGTAAAACAAGTCATGTCCTTCTACTAATTAAAATCCTTCAGGGGCACATAGGTGGCTCAGTCAGTTAAGCATCAGACCCTTGATTTCGGCTCGGGTCATTATCTCACAGTCGTGAGATGGAGCCCCACATCAGACTCCTGGTGAGTGGAGCCTGCTTGGGATTCTCTCTCTCCCTCTCTCTCTCTGCTCCACCCCTGCTCACTCGCTTACATTCTCTCTCACTCAAAATAAATAAATAAACGTTAAAAAAAATCCTCAAGTGTTCCCCATTTCACCTACATTAAAATCCAAACTCTGTCGTAAAATCCAAAACTCCACATCAGTAGCATCAAAGTGTGGACTCCTAATCAGCATCACTTGGGACTTTGTCAGAAAAGCAACTCTCAGGTCCCACTGTAGACCTTTCAGTCAGAATCTCTGGGGGCAGGGCTCAGGAATCTGTGGTTTAACATGCTCTCCAAGTGATGCTTAAACACACTAAAAAGTTTGTGAAGCACTACCTGACGTGATGTGCACTCATCTGTTTCTCCAGCCTAGTCTGGAACCACTCTCATCCTTGCCTGTGATGCTCTGGCCACACTGGCCTTCTTTCATTTCTGAAGGTGTCACATTTGCTCCCATCTTGGAACTTTACATTATCTGTTCCTTCTGCCTACTAGTCTCTTTAGAAATTTGCCTATTGGCTAATGCCATTCGGGTTCTGAGGTTTCCCTGATTGTGATCATGGGAGAATCCAAAGAAAAAGTGTGAATAGGACTGGCTCCTCATTATTTTGTCATAACCTATGTCTGTGATTTGAGAAAATTATAGATCTACCAGTCATAAATTGAAATCTGCGGATAAGAAAATGAACACCAGTTGTTAACTCGGTAGATTTAAGTTTTGCTACAAATTTTATTAATCGTCATCACAATGTTGTTTTTCTTGAAGAAGCTGGTGTTGGGATATTACATTTGGAAAAGCTTTTTTTTTTAATGTTTATTTTGTTTATTTTTGAGAGAGAGAGAGAGAGAGAGAGAGAGCAGGGGAGGGACAGAAAGAGGGAGACAGAGAATTCAAAGCAGGCTGTGGGCTGCCAGCACAGAGTTACAACACCTGGTTTGAACTCACAAACAATGAGATCCTGACTTGAGCTGAAGTCGTTCGCTTAACCAACTGAGCCACCCAGGTGCCCCAGGAAAAGCTTTTAATGCTAGTTAGTATCTTAATTACTCCATCTCATGATCTTGCATGCTCTATTAAAATCTTTTTCTCTTTTTGAAGGGGGATTTGGTAAGCAGGCATAACTCTCAGCATATGCTGTATACATTAGCTAGGTGTTTTCTGAATCAATGTTAACTATGAACCCTCTGTGATGGATAAGCACTTCTGCTTTCTCAATTCCTAAAGTGTACCATTTTTGCAATGAGTTCTGTTGCATTTCACAAGTCTTTTGGCAGGGTCTTTAAGGCTGACTTTATTTGTCTCTTGTATAAATTAGCTTCAGTAGATTATTTTTATAGTTAAAACATAATACAATATCAAAAAGTTTAGTTCTATTTAAAATCATTGGTCTACTCAGAGGAGCATTTAGCATTTTTTATCTTACACAATAAGTACCTATTACAATTAATAACACCCCCCCCCCTGCCTAATTTTGGTGGTGTTACGTAGTAGAAATTTATTTCTCGGTTGTGTAAAAGTCTATTGTGGGCATTTCTGGTCAGTAGATGGCTTTCTTCCATCTCCCATCTCCCAACCATCTGCATCCAGCAAGCAGATAGGAAGAGTAGAGAAGGTCTTTTTCTAAAAGCCAAGAGTTGGAAGCAGCATCACTTTTGCTCATGTTCCCTTGGTGAGAATTTCTCTCAAGGCCATAACTGGATGCAGGGATGACAGGGCACTGACCTCCCGGGGTGGACAGCCATTCCCAGTGACAAAATCACTACATGAATGGGGAGTACAAATATTGATAGCAAGCCAGCCAGCTGTCTCCTGTCACAAAAACCTATGTAAATTATCTTAGGGCCATGTTATATACTGCAGTTGCCAATGAAATGTAATGTTCAATCAAAGCAAACTCATCCCTCTTGCCTGGTTACCATATGTGCTTTTCACCCTTTTAATGGTGCCCTTAGCACCTCATATTTCCTCATTTAAAAATTCTCATCATTATTCAACTACACTAAGCTTCTTGGGGATAGAACCAGAGTCACTGTTCTTTGTATATCTCCCGCCCAATATAGTGCTTAACATAGAGTGTCACATGTAGTAGAGTCTCAGTGAATTATTTTGACTGACTGAATGAATGAAAGTACTACATTCCTATTGCAGTATATTATCTCTTAAGATAGAGCCTATGCTTCAAGCTGTCTCTAGTCACTTTTGAGTTATATGGTGAGCTGAATAAATCAAACAGAAGTTAAGACTCTTTGTCCTTTTTGTCTTTTTATGAAGGACATGATCCGATTGTCACACTCCTGAAGCATTATAAGAGACCGCAGGATGAATTGCCCTGTAATGAATATTCTCAGCCTGGAGGAGGTATCACTTTCTTACTCAGTTTTTGTTGTTAGTACAATATTGTGCCCAAAGGTAAATCTTTTTTTTTTTTTTAATGAAAATTATTGTCAAATTGGTTTCCATACAACACCCGGTGCTCATCCCAACAGGTGCCCTCCTCAATACCCATCACCCACCCCCCCTCCCTCCAACCCCCCATCAACCCTCAGTTCATTCTCAGTTTTTAAGAGTCTCTTATGGTTTCACTCCCTCCCTCTCTAACCTCTTTTTTTTTCCTTCCCCTCCCCCATGGTCTTCTGTTATGTTTCTCAGGACCCACATAAGAGTGAAAACATATGGTATCTGTCTTTCTCTGTATGACTTATTTCATTTGTTTCTATTACTATTATATTCCGGAGTTAGAGAGGAGGGCATGTCAGATTAGCTTTATTTTAAGAAAACTTATGTCTGGGTGAGGCTGAAAATAAAGAAGCCTTCACTTGGGGCACCTGGGTGGTTCAGTTGGTTGAGCATCTAAGTCTTGATTTTTGACTCAGGTTATGATTTCATGGTTTGTGAGATCAAGTCCAGCATCTGGCTCTATGCCGATGGTGTAGGGCCTGCTTGAGATTCTCCCTCTCTCTCTGCCCCTGCCGCACTCACGCTCTCTCCTTCTCTCAAAATAAATATACTTAAAACCAGAAGGAAGCCTTCATTTAAGCTGTTTTTCTAATTTACCAATCTGCAGTTCCTTCAGGTTTAACTAACATTCCCTGGACTGGGTTTCTATGAGGCTTATGCATGACTAGGAAGGCCTGGGTGAGCTGAAAGCAGTCATGTTCCATTTTAGTAATCTATTAAGGCAGGCCAGAGAATATCATACCCAGACACAAATTAAATCTGTTGGAGTCTGCTAGACCTTGTTTTTTTGTTTTTTAATCTTTTTGTGTTCTCTCTAAATAAACACTCACTGTGTAGTTTCAGTATACAGAGAAATACCTGGGTTAAAGCTATATTTTCACTTGGTTTTCTTAGCAAATTTCTTTTGTCACCTGCTTCTTTTTATAATGTTTAATGTCTGTGTAGAAAAAAATGATGGCTACCTTCAACTCTATAATCTAATTTGATTTCTAGATGGCTCCTATGTGTCTCTTCCATCTCCCTTGGGGAAGATTAAAAGCATGACAAAAGGTATTTCAATATGGGACAATTGTTACACTTTATCACTCAGGATAACAATTGGCTCACATACAATAACTTTCTATTCTGTTTCACATATTATACATGATGACTATTTTGCGTGCATAAACAATATTACCAACAAGCCATTCTTCCCACAGTTAATCTTACCTCCGTACTATTTTTCATATGGCATCTTGCTTCATGAAGGTATAACAGTGAGAATTTCATAAGTATTAAAGAAAGATCAAGTTCTTAAAGACATTTGTACTTTCAATGAAATCTAAATTACCAATGTTTATATCTTTGAGGAGAATTGGTAATAGGTTTGCCATAGGAAAATAAATTTGAACAAAGAAGTTATTTTTCAAAAGACCCCAAATAAGTAATACCTTGGAAAATTCTTGTGTGGATGCTGCACATAGAAATTAATAGCATTGAATCAGGAAAATTTTTTAAATATATAATTCAACTATAAATTTATATGTAACTATTTAGAATTTGAAGTTTTTTAAAAAATTATCTTTGGTTTGGGATGTTTCCTCTGAATGATTCACATACTTATTTTTTGACATCTAACTGGCATCCCTTTGAGATTTAGCTGATGGATATTTGGCTAAGCCTACTGTGGTATGCTTCCGGGGTTGACCAGATAAAACGCCTTATCATGATGTGATACGAACTGTACTCCAGGGTTGCCATGTCAGGCAGACAAGCTAGTTATTGATCAGATTAGGAATAAACCCTTAGCCCTGATAGCAAAGGTCAGAGAACAGAGACAGAAAACTAACATGATTTTAATGCAGGGAATAGGGATCATTTGTGATAAGGTTTTAGTATCTCCAAAGAGTCAACTGTATTTGGAAAATTAGATGTTACTGGGGAATGACATTTTTCGTTAAGTAAAGCATGTATGTAAATCATGTGGACACATCCATGTGTGCTTTTTAATCTTAAAAAAGAAAATAACAATTCCTATTTGCAGAGAAGGCAGATGTCCTCCTCCTAAGGGCTGGATTACCCTCACATTTCCATCTTCAACTCTCAGAAATTGAGTTCCATGAGATTATCGGCTCAGGTAACCTAAGAAAACACTAGTCTGCTGTTAGTTTCAAGAGCTCAAGATAATATGTGTTTATTCATTTCTCTTAAACAATTTTAGGTTCTTTTGGGAAAGTATATAAAGGACGGTGCAGAAATAAAATAGTGGCTATAAAACGGTAAGCGAGCAAATGAGAAAATTTAGTATCAGACTGGAGTTGTGAACTTTAAGAAGCATATGCATGGCAAGCCCCTTGTTTTGATCCATCTGTTGACTGAGGATTCCCCGCTCCTGCCATTTGCAGTTACCGAGCCAACACCTACTGCTCCAAATCAGACGTGGATATGTTTTGCCGAGAGGTATCCATTCTCTGCCGGCTCAATCATCCATGTGTAATTCAATTTGTGGGTGCTTGCTTGAATGATCCCAGCCAGTTCGCCATTGTCACCCAGTACATATCAGGGGGTTCTCTATTCTCCCTCCTTCACGAACAGAAGAGGTATGGTTCTCTTGTTCTGACTTATCCTTTTAAGTGTCATTGGAATTATCCTTGCAACACCTCAGAGACTTTCTGCTTGGGTGACCCTTTACCTTCTGATATCTCTGAATGCTAGGAAAGGTAGCATTTTAAAGATGGCTAATAATTTATGCCCAAGAATTATGTTTTAATGAATAGAAATATTTCTGTACTTTCTTAACAGGAATTCAGTTGAAGATAACAAATCCAAGGAATTTAAATTAGCAACTGAAGCTTACACTAATTAAGTTAATATGACATACCAATAAAGCAGATATATGTAAGCTCAGAATAAAATAATTATCAGGGGTCCAAGCATTTATGCTTTAAAGTTAAAAAAGAATAGGCTTGCACAATCAATTCTAATTCACTTCCTAGATATATGCATACAATAATCAGAGTGTGGTTTTTCTCAGTTATTAAAATAGAATCAATTTTATGTTATTATAAAAAATTAAGTATAATATTATAAATATTATAAACTCAAGTAAAATATTTTAAATATGTGAGGTTGTATTTAAACTGATTTAGAATTAAGCATTTTCTGATGTGGAAGCCTATTTTTCCAGATTTTTTTGAATTTTTAGCTTAATCTTCAATAAAGCAAAAAAGGCTGAAAGATACACAGAATAACAAATCACACACACACCATTGATTTCTTTTAGAAAGATGTGTTATTGGCTTTGACCGTTTCATTCTCACTAAATCTTTTTTTTTTAATTCTAGGATTCTTGATTTGCAGTCTAAATTAATTATTGCAGTAGATGTTGCCAAAGGTATGGAGTACCTTCACAACCTGACACAGCCAATTATACACCGTGACTTAAACAGGTATTCCCCCCACCTCAAATAATGAACATAGGATTGTGTAACTAACTGGGAGTCTAAGACAGATTTAAGTGTCTGTTCACTGAAGATACAGTGCAAATCAGCACTGTGAAGATACAGTGCAAATCAGTTTTCTTCTTTGTGGGTAAGGGGAAAGGCTACTTTAAGGCTAGGTGATAGAAAGTTTTGTCATTGTCTTTTACAGAAATAGAAAGCTATATAACTGCCTCTCAGGGATCTTTCAAATCTATGAGAAATGGCCACAAAGAGAATGATGTCTGTAAGATTCACCAGCTAGCTTGTTCTCAAGTCAATAAAGTCAGATCAAAAATTTAGGTCAAAGACTATTATAGCAGGTCTCATACAAAGTCAGGTATTATAAGAGGTCCTGATTTAAATTACCTACTTTTGTGCTACCATTCTGGTATTTTTCTAATAGTAAATTCAGCCAAAAACACAGCAGCTCATTTACCTAGTTTTCATGTGAAGTTATTTTCGTGTGGGTCAGAGACTTGAAACAAATATGGAATTATAGTATTCTAGGGGTAAAACCCCAAGGGATTTCAAAAAAACTCTAAAAAAAATTTTTTTTTAATGTTTATTTCTGAGACAGAGACAGACAGAGCATGAGTGGGGTGGGGCAGAGAGAGAGGGAGACACAGAATCAGAAGCACGCTCCAGGCTCTGAGCTGTCAGCACAGAGCCCAACACGAGGCTCGAACTCACAAACCGTGAGATCAGGACCTGAGCCAAAGTTGGTCGCTCAACTGACTGAGCCACCCAGGCGCCCCTCAAAAAAACTTTTTAAACAGTGAAAGCTTTCTAAGCAAAGTCTTACAAGAAGGCCAATATACAAAATGTAGCAGCTTTAGTTGAAGGCAGAATGCAGAGTACAGAAATCTGTTCACTTACCATTTTCTACTGCCCAGGAGGGAGATCCCCAGGCCACGTCTGTGGAGTCCCAAAGGTGCTGTGGAGAAGAGCTGGACAACCACTGATCTAGTTTATGAAACGAGTCAGATTATTCAAAGGCAATAATTTTCATTGAATGATTATCAATAACATTCATATAGATCCCATACATAATCTTTTGTATAAAGTCCACAATTCTGAGAATACTAACAAGTAATCACTCCATTCAGCCTTTTGTTCAACAACTATTTGGGGATCTACTATGTTTGAAGCCTTTATACTTGGCCCATTAGAGCTTATGATGTGAAGCTGCCATACACTCCATTCTCAAGGGCTTCTCACCGTTTTAGTAAAGCAGAGAAACACTTACCTAAGTATGTTTTAGGTATAAAGTAACAAGTTCCATAAGAGAGACATTTTAAAATTCTATAAAATTTCAGAAAGAAGAATATTAACTACTTCTGAGGAATTTAGAAACATCTTCATGAAAGAAGGGACATTTGAACTTGGCTCCAAAGGATGGGTAGAATTTGGGAGAGTAGCCTAGGCTTAGAGAAAACATTAAGAAAATAGAGATTAGAATGTTAAAGGCATATACAGGAACAATGAGTAGTTTAGCTTTAGTGGATGAAGTGTCTATGAATGTATGTAATATGTGTAATGTAGGAAGCATATGATTGGGAAAGAAATTCAGGAAGATAAATTGGAACAATAGCACAGAAATCAGTGAATCCTAGACTTTAGGTAGTTTAGACTTTGTTCTGTAAGAAAGTAGGCAGTGCAAATGGTTGAGCTAGGAATCAGAAGTTTGGAACTGTGTTATGTAATAATTAATCTAGCATCATTGGAAAAGATCAACTTGATGGGAAAGTCAAGAAACTGATGAAGCAGTTGTTGCAGTAATCTAACTGAGAAGTAATGAAAAGCAGAATTTTACTAGTGGCAGTGGAAATGAAAGGGAGGACATATTAAAGATAGGGGAGATAAAATAAATTAGATATGAGAGTGAATCTTAGATATTAGAAGTAAATGTTTGTGAGATTTAATCCATTTAAAATTATTAGTTTTCATACAAAGGTCATTTCTTTGTTGTTATTAGGTTTTTGGGGTTTTTTTACCTCTCTTTTAAAAACCTTTATGTTAATAAATATTTTTTTCTTTGAGTTTCAGTAAAAATATTTAGGAAATAGATTTAAGTGATAAGTTAGCATAATATAAACTGATGATTTGTGAGTTTTAGGAGTGTTATCTTATCATCACAACCATTTTGCATGTGGTATTAAAACAAATGAGTGATCATCGAAAGTTTTGTCTAGCTGTAACTCTTCAATTATGGGGCAATTGGATGTGTATTCTGTTGCCCTGTGAGTAAATGCAAGTTGTTACCACCAGGTTGTAAAGCAGGACCAAAAATATAAATGATGATTAAAAGTAGAAATAGAACATTTACTGTGTAACAGATATGTTTATATTTACAATTTTTTCTGTTTCTAATAATTCAAATGCTTTAAATCATACCAAAAAGTCTTCAAATTTTATAAAACACTGTTTCATAGGTGCACCCAATGTAATAGAATCCCAAACTATTGCATTTATTATTTGTGAACTAGTTTTTACTAATCTTAATCTGCCAACAATAAAACATTCAGTTTTTCAGATTAATGCAGATATAACACTGTATATTGCTCAAAAGAGTATAAGTCTTTCTGCTTAGAGGGCTTACTACTCTATGGTTGGGTACATAGAACACGTGCCCAGGAAACAATTTATTTCCCATGTAAGGTATAAAATTACTAGGAACCAAAATGATTAAGTGGCAATTTTACTGGAAATCAAAGGATTTCGAGTAAGTCAAAGATCAAAGTAGAGTGGAAAGCTTCCTGGAGGATGTAGGGCTAAAGCTGGACTTTGAAGAATAGGCGTGTATCTTCCCTCAGTGTTCTCACAGCATACTAACCCTTGCATGTCTACAATGCTTCTGAAGTCCCACTGAAAGAGGTAAAAGGAAAGATGCCCATCAGAGTGAGGAACTCGGACATGTTTGAGTTTTTGTATTGAAATGACCTGTTTACATTTTTCTTTTTCCCACTAATCTGGGTGTGTCAGGGCTTCAAGAGCAAAGATCCTTTTCTCTTTATCACAGAGATGTTCAATCAATGCGTTTTTAACTGAACCAAGTTCTAGGGGCGTTTTGGTGAATATCGTTTCAGGAAGCCATGGCATAGTTGGTACAAGTATGGCTACTTTTAGGTAGTCTAATTTTCCCCATACTTTTTTATGGTGCAAAGTAAAGAGGCTGTTTGAGCTTATTGATCAGCTTACAGAAAGGGGACACTTCTGTCTTTGGTTTTGTGGTTGTTGATTTATGAGTGAGAGGAAGGAACTCTGCCCTTCCTTTGGCAAGCTTCTCACCATACAGGTCTGGAAGTTAATTTTGATCTTTAAGTATGTACTAAGGAGAAGTTGTAGGAATGAGTAAGGAAGTGGTTCTTTCCAATGATGATGATTAGAATGATGATAATACCCACCATTTATTTACCACTCACAATGTGAAAGGAGTTCATGTATGCTCAGTTAATCTCACGACAATTCTATAACATAGCTATTATTATCTCCACTTTACTGATAAGGAAACTAATTCCAAGGTGACATCCATAACATACAGTATTTTTAACATTATATTATGCTCTCCCAAGAACAACAGCAAAACCAAGTCAGAACAGAGAGACAGAGGTTGATGGTACTAAATAAGCATCATCAGCATTTACCAACTTTGCTTTTTGTGTTTCCTGTGACCCAAATAATTTCTCATGTCATCTCCTTGTGTTTCTGCGTTCCTGCTTTATTTCTTCTTTTACAACCCATGTTCTTTTCGTGTGGAACAGAAAATCTATATAATATGTTTCCTTTGGTCTATAGTGTTAAAATATTTTTTTAAAAATTTTTAATATTTATTCATTTTTGAGAGAAAAAGAGAGAAAGAGCACGAGCAAGGGAGGGGCAGAGAGAGAGAGAGAGACAGACACAGAATCTGAAACAGGCTCCACACTATGAGCTATCAGTACAGAGCCTGATGTGGGGCTCGAACTCACAAACCGAGATCATGACCTGAGCCGAAGTCAGACGCTTAACCAACTGAGCCACCCAGGCACCCTTAAATATTTTTTAAATGTATATAGCTTTAGACAGGAATGAACTTAACAATTTGTTGTAGACCCCACTACCTACCAACTTACCAACTTATACTTGGCCCAATTTATACATTCATTTTGCAGCATTGGAGCTTGCAAAGCACGGTTTACAGCTAACGGCTTTGAGCCTTTTTACTGAATACAAACAGCTCTCTGTGTTTCCTTGGAAAAGTACATTTTCCAAATTGTTTAACATTGAAACCAAAATATCATTGCAAACATATATGGATCAAATGAATGGTCTTTTCCCCTGTATAAGTATATATAACAACACTGTATGCAATGAAATAGTGATATTTCATAGAGCAGCCATTGTACTCCCATGAGATATGTATATCAAAGCATTTTGTAAACTGTGAAGCACTATACAAATGACATTTGCTATTGCTATTAACCCTTCACTTGTTCCCTTATATGTAGAAGATGGAAAATACTCTACAATATTCTCATACATATCAATATTTCTTTTTATGTAACACAAGTAATTAGTTGGGGGTGTAGGTCTACATCTGAGAAAGACTACTATTGATTTTTGAGTGTCAGCTTATTTGGGTATCAATAAAGGAAAATAATTAATGACAATTTAAAAACAGCCAACTTATGAATAATGACAGATACTATAAACTGACAAAGCTGGTAAAGGCTAAAAGAAGGTTAATTTTGAAGATCACATTTAACTAAATTTGTGAAGGTTTCAAAAAGCATGAGAGAAAAAATTATTGGTAAAAAATGTTTAATAATTGTTTTTAAGCTGATGTGTGGATATGTCTTTCAATTGAATACACATATAAAAGCCTTGCATTGAAAAAAACTCAGTCAAGTACGAATAAATGAATTGTTAACAGTTTCTTCTAACTACTGAACTGTTGGGTACAGTGGTATTCCTTAGTTCTTATAGTC